CATCGTATTATGGTTTAAATTAAAGCTATCTTCAAATTTCAAAATCATTCTTTTTACCTTAAATTAATCATATGTTTAGAATTTTAAATTACCTCAAAAGAAAAACAACTATCGTTTACCGTGTAAAATCATGATTGCTGTATTGTATTGAGCAAATTTATCAATTGTAAAATTGATTGCTGCCTCTCGATAAACACCGAGTTCACGATTTCTTTTTGATATTTACTTAAAAAAAAAACTCCAGAAACATAAGAATAATTAAAATATGTAAGTCTCGAGGGATCATTTTGTTTTCATACTATAATATGCAACATGATCCGCTGAGATAAATATTACGTCCGAAATCAAAAACTTAAATTTCAAATAACTAATTATTTAATTTTTTTAATTTTTTATTTCTGCAATTAAAATATGAATCTAATTAATTGACTACATTTTAATTTTGTATGAAAAGAAATAATATTGAAGGTTCAAATGTGAAAAAAATGGAAGTTTGCTAAAAAAAAATTTTTTTATTGAAATGACTCACATTGATCTTTGAAATATATAAAGTTTAAGATTAAAGATTTTGATATGCAAACATTCATTTGAAGCCATGTTTGAGCTTTCAATGGCAGCTACAGTTCAATCAACAAAATTATAATTTCAAGAATAGTCTAATTTGCCTTTGTCTGATCTAGTAAAATGTATACTCCTGTGTTAAATTCTTGAACTTATGATTTTCAAAAAAAAAATAAAGATGTAAACATTTGTAGCTGTTAATCATTGTGAAATTGTAAATCTAGGAGTAATACGTAGCGCTATCTAGTAATTAACTAATCGACATCGAAAAACATACCTTAAACTATTGAACCAAAAATCAATATTATGTCAATTATATCAAAGAATCGAGCAAACCTTTAAGCAAGTTTAAAATAACGAAACTTAATCCTACCGACTTGACGTGCAAAACTACAGTTGAGAAGTAAATTGAATTTAATTGACAATATGTTTTATGTGGTTTCTGTCTTATCTTTTAAGCAAAAAGTTCTCGGGGACGAAAACAGAAAATTTCCATGGTGGATTGTTACGTACAAGGTACTTAACAGCTAATATTATTTTAATTATTATCGTTTAATAAAGCTACAAAACATAGGACAGAAATAGTAAAACATGTTTATTATTAAATACTTTATAAACTGTTTATAAATTATATGCATAAATTTATGAACAGTATTAATTCTAAAATTTTTATATAATAAATGAAACCTCCATTTAAAAATAATCAAAAGTAATCCATTTCACACATGGATTGAGACGACCAGGGTGTATACGTGCACATCCACTGATTCCGATGGCTACAAGATCTAACACGACCACACCCTTGAGTTCTTCGCGTTACGGGCACACATACAAGCATGCTACACATGCCTCTGCTCATTGCCTTGTCTCTCCTATTGTCTTTTCTTGTCTCTCCTTCCTTTTTCCCCTTTGGGCCTACAAGCTTAGGGACTAGAATATCATAACAAATGCACATGCATTTGGAGGCTGACTCAACGCTTTATGAAGCGTATATATTTTATTCGTTTTATGCACTATTCCAAATTTACAGAAAATAATTTGATAATAGCTAAACATTTTATTGTAACTTATTGTTAACAATAAAATGCCGGAGGACTGTAAGTTGCATGTATATGTGTATATGTATAATTATGAATGCAAAGTACATATACTAGTAACTTATAAAATGTAGGATCAATATAACGTTATTTATACAACTTATATTAAACACTTATAACTATTAATAAATTATAATTATAAATAAAAAATTCTTTCTTTACAATATAATTATAATTTATATATTTAGTTATAAAAATAGTTTCTAAAAAGTATCAAATTAACAACGCCGTTTCCGTTCTCACGAAAACTGCATGCAATCAGAAAAGTCAGCATAATGCAAAGTCCAATGGGCCTCAAGAACATCCCTACTTCTAATTCTAAAAATCCTTAGTTGACAAATTTACCCCACTTTGGCATTAGGACAAGGAGTAGAGGCTTGTCGCAATATTTCCATCGCTGCTGTACAATTTTCCTCTTCAAGCGATCAACACCTGTCCTGGCTGCGGCCTGACAGATCTGTTGATCGCAAGAAAGTAGGAAATGCCGGGACTAAGCCCGTCTGCGCGTCGGACCCCCGCGTATAACATATCAAGTACAACGCGAAAGGCAGACAAAAAATTTAATAGAATCTTCTAACCGACGGAGTCCAGTGAGAGCTGTTTTGAGTGAGATTCCAATTAATTAAATATTTAACAATTGTGAATCTTGTTTCTTAACTCGGCCAGTCCGTACGTGTAGTACCTGCGCCGTCTCAATGCAGTGGCCCCATATAATTCGCGAGTTCGCGTAAATAAAAATTGGTCGCATAGACGACTTAATTTTCGACATTCAACTTGTGTTTTGCCCGATGGAGGATCCCTGTTTCTCGACTGGCCAGTCCGTACGCGCAGTACCTGCGCCGTATAAGAGAAATTATGCCCTGTCGGTAGGATTAAGGATTTTAGCGGTAAGTCTGTATTGTTTCAATGATTTAATGTTACTTTCAACTTTAATTCTCTTTCAAACATGTGCAAGTTTGTAAATTTCTTAAAATCTTGTTAAAATAAAATTTTAATGTGAATGCCAAATCTGATTTTATTTATTTTAAAACTCCTGAAATAAATAAAGTAAATTGAAATAATTATTTATCAGAGTTAAAACAAAGCAGAAACGGTAACTTTTAAAAGTAGGATCACGAACCCACACAATTAAACAGGGCCTTAAAGACCCTGGCAGCTTGGTGCCTCCCCAAACCGAATTTAAATAAGAGCCATCTCAAAAGCTCGAATAAAAGAAACAACATAAATTTATTATTCTGGTTTGTAACAAAAATTTCCATAAATTTCCAAAAATTTCCATAAATTACCAAAATCCAAATTTTTAATTATAATTTAAATTTTACATATTTTTATGAATTATCGCAAAAATTTCCAAAAATTTCCAAAAATTACCATAAATTACCATAAATTACCGAAATAATAATTTTTAAATGAGATTTATGCTATAATATTGTTTAAATTACCGCAAAATTTTTTTTTGACAGAATGTGTCCAAACAGTGAATTAGTTAATTACTACACTTGTTTACAACAAAAATTATAAATAATTTTTCCGGCCCGCTATGGATTTTTCTTTCTAAAGCCTTTATCTCCAAAAAAATATATTGATATTAATCATAACGATAAAAAATTTTTTTTTTAATTTCATAAACAAAATCGTGCGCTACGCGGAGAATCACCCGTATAGATGTTTTAAGTGGCACAATGTTCCACCACCCATCATTCTTTTTCTGAATACCTGAAAATATATAAATATTATGTGTGCGAATGTTCAATATTGATCGCTCAACAAATATTATAAGGAAATTAAGGATTTTTAAAAAAAGGTTTACAGCCTATTTGAAATAAGTACTTATACTTACATTCTTATATGTTTTTAATGAACCTAAATAAAAAACTGCATGTGAAAAAAAATTTTTTGGTAAAGAGGGACAAAAGTTAACTGTTTGTTAATTAATAATGTTTATAACAAATTAAACAAGTTACTTTTTAAACAAGGAGGGCATATACTCTTTAAATAAACCAAAATAAAAAACTACACGTGAAAAAAACCTTTTTTAGTGAAGAGGAATCAAAGTTATCTATTTGTTAATTAATATTGTTTAAAACAATTTAAATAAATTATTTTATGTTTTATTAATTGCCAGGTGGTTATATTGAATTAATTTGAACTTATTTAGATCATTTGCAGTAGCGGAATAAGAAAATAAACGTCCTTTTTTAAAAAATTGTATTAATTTGTTAACTTTAATTGAACTAAAAAATTATAAACAATTACAATCTCAAAAATCGGCCTCAAGGGGTGTCTAAAGAATTTATTCCCCTTTAATTTAAATCAAAGAACACTCAAATCGTTCAAAATTTGTAGGCTGTAGGCATTTTTGAACAGTAAATTGTAAAAAAAATCCCATTGTATGGTGCGTCAATAGCGCAGCGCGCGCGGTCACAAAAATATTAATAACTTTTGATCTAATGCAATAACTTTTTTTTAGAAATACTCGTGATAAAACAAGGTATCACAATTGACGAGAAAAAATACGAAATTAGGCGGAGAAGTTTATTTTATTTCTATTTGTTTATAATAATTGTTGTTATTTTAAACAAATTATGAACAAAATTTTTTTAAAAAATTTTTGTTCGGAAGCACAGTTATTGTATATTACTAATTTCAAATTTTATTAAAATCCATCAAATAGTACGGTAGAAAAAAATGTTTAAATAATTTGATGCTTAAAAATTGTTTGAACAATAACTCTTAAAAAAATTAAAATTTTGCAAAAACAACTTTGGGGTCATATTTTGGTACGAAAGTACTGTAAAATTATTGATATGAAATATAAAAATATCTCTATCGAAAAATTAGTGGCACGCTTCAGAAATTTTTAGCCATGTATAAATATGTGTAAATAGCGATCGTTATTAGGTTATGCGTTTTAATATTTAAGTTAGATTTATGTACTTAGGGTTAAATAAAATTGTCTAGTTTAAGAATATAATTAATCTTGAAGTTGGGAGTCTTGGAAGAGTAAAATTAGTGTGCAATATGTGATTAGAAGTCACTAATTAAAAAAAGTTTTATTTTAGTTGAAAATTTTCTTTTTTAACTTTATAACAGTCATTTGTAATCAGAAATGTAGCAGTATTAGTCATTACAAATGGCTATAGTAAAATAAAAAGTCAAACACCAGCCAAAATATCGTTTAGAGAATTAAGCAAACGATTTGCCCCAACATTATCATCTAAAACACTTGCTTTAAACCTTTTTGTTTAGTGTAATCAAACATTGATAAATTATCTTAGAGTTAAAGATATATCAATAGTTTAGATTCTAATTTACCATGGTGGGCTATTTATTACTCAAAAGTTAACAAGAAAATATTTATTTGTTTAAGTAGAAAATATTATAACCCACGTGAAAAAGTTCCCGCAAATTTCTCTGGAATCTCCAGAGAATTTCCTAGGAGTGAAAAAAAATTTTGTGTCTTCATTTGTTTTTTTACACCCGGGAGAGTCCCGAGAATTTTTTGAGAGTGACTCCCGGGAATTTCTCGGTTTCATTCCCAAGAACTTCTTCACGTTGAAAATGTATCTACAATTCGTATTATATAGTACAGTACAGCTTAAATTACTGATCATTTTCAAATTTACAAAATATTCTAAGAGTCATAATATATTTTCTTCAAAGTTCGATATTTTCGAAGCATATAGAGTGTCTCAAGTTCTTTTTTCACAAACTCTCCATGTGCAAGCATTTTGTCGATTTTCTCTGAATTCTGCTCGTCTCTATTCTTTCTAAAGGCTTTTTGTAAGTTTGCTCGAAAAAACTCATAACCTTTCGGATAATCCCGGCCCATAAACAGCAACTAAAATAAAAATACATTTTATTAAATGTTAGAATTTTTCGCTAAATAAGAATTACAATTATGAAAGAAGATTTCGACTACATTAGCAAATAGTGACATCTATTAGATGTCGATTAAACTCTTTTGTTTATAGAGTTAGGTGTTTTCTTAAGATAATTATTTCGATATATGGTTGTCGAATAATAATTAATTAATTAATTTAATTATCAATTTGAATTAATTTTGATCTGAAAAAATTAAGTTCCACGTTAGGCAGCTATGAACTGGGGTTCGAGTCTTCGATGCACAGTGCATTGGTTCACGCATCTTATCTTTTCAGATCAAAATTAATTCAAATTGTTGATTATTAATCGACAACCATACACGGAAAAACCTTTGAGAAGTCTGCCTTCCCACTGTCACAAAATTTCGCCTCTCACTGCATGGAAAGTCTGATCGCCCGCCACTGGGTGCGTAGCATTACCGTTTTCGATAGACAAACTTCCCAAAAAGTTTAGAAAATTACAACTGGGTACGTTGGTCACCCAGTTTGGGAGTGCAGATGAACAAGTTTAGTGGTGGCGCTGACGCATAAGTTTCGGGTGAGCAGACTGCTTAAAGGTTTTTCCGTGTATCGAAATAATTATCTTAAGAAAACACCTAACTCTAAACCAAAGAGTTTAATGGCATCTAATAGATGTCACTATTTTATTTATTGGTTTATCCACCTGTATTTAACCTTACATAGTTGACTATACAAGTGTTTCTCTTACAATTTTCTCTTACAAATACTTCTTATATACATTTCCTAAAACTAAGTTTTGCGCCTACAGAGCGACTTGAAAATTAGGAGTACTCGCATTTGACTGGACCACCCGTCTAAAGGGTATAAATAATCGACGGTGCACATCATTATACCTCGACGTCAAACCTCCTGCTCAGATTATCTCACGTGCCGGAAAAATACCAAGCCAAATGGGCGCGAACCAAGGGTGCTTACCCTTGGTCCTTAAACGACCGCCAAGCGAGGCATCTATCCGACTGAGCTAATCTATCGGTTAATAGATGTCACTATTTGCTGATATAGTCGAAATCTTCTTTTATAATTACATGTTATTAAATATGTCATTTCATTTTTATCATAAATTGTACATAACTGTCAATAATAACTGATTTCAAATTTAACTTTTAATAATATCAGTACCCAAAAGGCACAAGTTTTTATGTTCAACTTGACACGACGTTGCATGGTAAGCTTGACAAGATTACACTGCAATATTTAGGCAAGTTTTAAGCAAGATTCGAAAGTTCTACCTCGCCTTGCATATTGAAAATGGCAATATTGCTAGATAACACAAGAAATAATAAGGTGGTATTGCACTGCAATAATATTTCTGTAAACTAAATACTATAACTCTGAAGCCAATGTGCGTGAGTTTCAAATTAAACCAATGAGCTACACTTACTTTTAGGGACAGTTTCAACTACACTACCGGCAAAAATTGTGCGACCGCTAACACTTCAAGCTATTAAAAAACACACCCGCACAGAAACAGTGATAACTCCGTGAAATATGAGGCTAGATGCTTTTTTTTAAATTGCATTGGAGAACTTATTAAATTTCTAATGAAATGACACTATTTTCATTTGTATTGCATAAATAGAAAGCAAGATATTATGATATAAACACAAAAAAATAATTCTATTTTTTGGGAATTTCTTACCCTGACTTTGACTCCTGGAAAAACTTAGAAAAGTTGAAGAAAAAAATTGTTACTTTCACAGACTATTTCTTGTAATTTAAGCTTTAAATAGAGATTGAGAATAGCAAAAAATATTAACGGGTTCCTGAGATATTACAAGAAAAAATGAAATAAGTGTCATTTCAATGGAAATTTAATAAGGTCTCTAATGCAATTTAAAAAAAGTATCTAGCTTCATATTTCACGGAGTTATCACTGTTTCTGTGCGGATGTGTTTTTTAATAGCTTGAAGTGTTAGCGGTCGCACAATTTCCTCCGGTAATGTACTTAGATTAAAAGTTAATCAATTAATTATTAATGCCAGTTTAACCGCTCATGATTGGCTGGTTAAGGATTTAATCATTGATTAAATTTTCATCGGTGTTGGTAAAACCGCCCCTTAGTATACTTAGATTATTTGCGAAGCATATTTGAGTCCTACGTAGGGTATGTTTGACACAGTTGGCTTCAATTAGATTTATGTTTTGCAAAAATGGTGACAAAATCGGGCAGTGGCATTTCGTTCATTTTTATTTAGAGCTTTAAAAATCGTAAAGACAAAAATCGTAGATGATCCTTTTTTCAAGTTATTTTTAAGATTGTAATTTTCTTATAATACCTATTATTATTGTAGTAAGTGTACAACCAATTTTTAAGTTGTTTGGCCCTCGTTGTAAACATTTTCGTTGGCAAAAAGTTGGGAATTTTTACTTTTTTTGGAAAAGAAGAATTTTTTTTAAGGTAGCAAGTAAGAAAACATAATACATAAAACCTACAAATATCGCGCCCGCAATAACCAACCTTCAATGTGACGGAAGTAAATTCAAAAATTTTAAAATGTCGATAAAAGACATTTTTTAAATAAACATCAGAGTCTAGTAGACGAATTTTAAAAAAATGTTGGATAATTATGTCACTTTCTATCTACAGGTTTTAGATGTTGCTTATTACGAAACTGACATCAAATATCAAAGATTCAAAATAGAGGATTCAATATCGCGAACAAATAGTCGTCCAACTAAATCGTATTATATCCCTGCTAAAAATTTCGATTTTGATATTTTTTCTAGCGCTAGATCAAAATTATTCTGTTAGCATAATTACTATATAAAAATATAGACTCTTATCTGTACAACATAATTTTTCTGGTACTAAAAATGTAAAAATCAAAATTTTTATTATTATGTAAAGTTCTGATTTCTTAAGTGCAAACAAGGGACACCACTGACATTTTTCTTCTAATTCTTCAGCCAAATTTTTTCAGAAAATTTCTAGCGACTAAGAATTATTAATTTAAGTAGAAGGAGTGATTAAGAAAATTAATTGACTTACAAAACTTTTATATATGAACTAGTATTCCAAATTTTTGGGCAGGACATGAAAATTACATTTTAATTTTAATCACCCATATACAAGTTCCGAATTTGCTTCTCCCGCCTAGGGCAGGTTTCCCACTACGTAGCCTTACTGATGAGTCAAAGTAGTGGGCACCGGGACGAAACAATATAAAGTGGTCTTCATACCACTCTATGGTTAATATATTTTTAAATCTCCATATCAAACGGGTTGGTATGGGGTGATTTCAAATTTCTACTTTACCGACCTTGGTGATAATGCTCTTATAAAAATGACGGTAAATTACCGACCGTAGGTAAGTTACCGACCGATGGAATATGTTAACTTTAAGTTATGCCGGTAGTCGGCGTTTACTATTTTGTGGTAGGAGAGTTGCGCGCTTGTGGAGTAGTGGGGAGCGGCGTAGTGGGGCGGTGAGTATAGTGGGGACTGGGGTATAAGTTACGGATCACGAACCACCACACTCATTCTTTCAGCTTCCATCGTTTTAGGTAACTTTCTCTTCCACATCATTCTTTCCTTCAGGTCTTGTTCTTTCTTTCAGGTCACTTTCTCTTTAACATTTCTTTTCAGCTTTTTTTCTTTTCTAAGTTTCAATTTCAGGTTTATTTCTAAGTTTTTCAACTTTATTTCCAGGTTTTTTTTGTTTACATTTCAGGTTCATTTCTAAGTTTTTCAGCTTTGTTTACTGTTTTTTTATTATAAGATTTCTTTTCAGCTTTATCTTCTAAGTTAGCATTTCAGGTTTATTTCTAAGTTTATTTAACCCATTAACGCCCAAATGTCCAAAATTTTTGACTGAAGTTCAAGGTAAGAATTTTTATCCTAAATGATTAGACTTTTAAAAACCCTTCGGTACTAAGGGGTATTGAGGTCCGCTTTTTCAGAATCCGGGGTCAAAAAATCATTTCGACCATCAGGGAAACCAATATGGCGCCCAAAATGGAGAAAATACCGAAAAAATCGTAAGTTTTTTTTTTGAAACAAGCTTTTCACATCAATAAGATTTTTTTGGGCGGGTCTCATGTATGCTATAGGTGGATAAAATAGTTGTACTTTCGAACTGTGTACTTGACAACTTGAAAATTTAAGATGGCGGATCCAAAATGGCAGAAAAATAAGAGAAAAATACTTGATAAATAGCAAATGCATCATCAATTTTTAAAACTTGATTTAAATCATCTGAAAATTACTTCTCGGGGGTTTTCGGGGTCGCTGATTACGAATATAAAGTTTAATTATAAAAATTCAAAATAGCGGTTCCAATATGGCGGATAAAAATTTTTGAAAATCAATAAAATTGCATGAAATTATTCACTCGAGGGTTTTTGGGGTCGCTGATTACGAATATGAAGTTTAATATTTAAAATTCAAAATGGCGGATTTAATATGGCGGAAATTTTTTTTTAAAATAGATAAAATTGCATGAAATTACTCAGTCGGGGTTTTCGGGGTCGCCGATTACGAATATGAAGTTTAATTTTAAAAATTCAAAATGGCGGTTCCAATATAACGGATAAAAATTTTTAAAAATCGATTAAATTGCATGAAATTACTCACTCGAGGGTTTTCGGGGTCGCTGAATACGAATATGAAGTTCAATTTTTTAAATTCAAAATGGCGGATCCAATATGGCAGATAAAATTTTTTTAAAATAGATAAAATTGCATGGAATTACTTACTCGGGGGTTTCCGGGTCGCTGATTACGAATTTTAAAAGTGCAATTTTAAAAATTTAATACTACAAATTCATAAATTTCTAGTTGTTTTGGAGATTTCATTTTGTTTGTTACCGTCACGTTTTTCTGGAGTTGCCCAACTCTCACTACGTGGAGTTCGACAAAATTTCTTAACTTTGTCTTCTTTTTAAAAAAAATTTTTGTTTTTAAATATTTTTTTGTATTTTTTAATTTTTTAATTTTG